TTATTTGTTAAAATTGAAGGGTTTTGGAGAATTATCTTCCTTTGAGGTTGTGGGACACGTCATCGCATGCCTGCACGCCAGGATTGGGAGGTGCGACCGTACAAACAGTGACCAATCATTAACCTCTGTTTGTTTAACCTAACCCGCCATCCTGATCATGATTAAGCTTCCTGCGTGTACACTTTATCCGCAATATACCCACTGAATAAACGTGCTCCGTGCTACACGTCTGTTTCCTTTACAGCTGGGCTATAGCTTAGCTGGTTCTAGGAGTCTAGCTAGATGTTGGAGAATCTGCCATAGAGATTTCTGAGTCAGTCAGGCTTTAATAAAGTAGCAATCCGCTACAAGGTATTGACGTGTTAATATTGAGTTCTGTGATTTGTGGCTATTCTAGAGACTAACGGGGTTATGACAACTATTTAATACTGATTTAATGACTAAGAAAAAATTTACGATACCTCTCTTCAACCCTAGATAGCATGCTTACTCTTTTATTATAACAACGATCAGAAATATAATATATATTAAAATATGTACCAAAAGTATGAAACTCAACAAAGGAATGGTGACAGCAATGGACATCCATGTGTGTTAGGATTGAATTACGAGGTGGTGTGGTCAGTTTCAAATATTTTACCCAAATTATGTTCCATTCAAACAACAAATATACATCCAATTAGCATTAATAAAAAACTAGAATCCAAAAGAAAGCCACGAACTTAAGCAGACTAGCATTATCAATATCACTGCGAGGTGAAGAAATTGCCATAAGTTCAGTCTGGGTCAACTGATTGCTAAGTCCCAGACTGTCAAATAGGAGGAGCTCGTCTCACGCCTACCAACCACAATTATTGATGTGGGAATAAAGAGGGGGAGGGTTGAAACAGAGAAAGCACGCCAAAAAATAATTTACACCAGCAAGTGAATAAATTGACAAACAAAATGCCCTCCCTTCCCTCAAATCCCGCACACACACACTCAAATATAACGATGTTCTTCCATTCAAAAAAAACCATCAATCAATTTGGGGAAAAAGCGCAGAAACACGAAGCCGAGCATTGTGGTATGATAACTTACCGGCTTGTTTACAGGCGGCAGTAGCTAGACTAAATTCATCAGATTTGGAAGAAATATTTGTGTTTGGCTTCCAATTTATAACATACTGGCTGACTGAAAAAACCTGGGTATCATCAGGAAATATTTCTTTCAATTGTCTGAAAGGGGGAATTCGATTAACAAGATTAATTACATGAATAGACATCAACTCCTACCGCAATTACTGATTTATACTCAGAAATCGATATATCACAAGGTCTTGATTAGTTATCATTACAACCCTTTCCTAATTTTCTGGAGATCGATATATATATCTTGCATCTATTTCATAATAGGTTGTATAAATTGCACCAGGTATCGTAAAAACCAAACGAAGACACCATACTGTTACTTATTGATCCCTAGTTATGGTAATTAGTTATATTAGTGAGTATATTAAAAAGCATGATTATTTTACCTTGCTAGTTTAGTTTTTCCAGATCCTGGTAAGCCCCGAAGAAAAATGATCAGACCAGAAGGAACTACTTCACCATCCGCACAGGAGATTTCCACCATTCTCTTTTGTAATGCATCCAAAGGAGTAAAATTCGAGGCCATTTTATTTTGAAACTAGGAAGCAAAAGTAGCATATTTCAGTCAATTTATATCAATCCGATTAAACCACTACTCAGGCCACCTAGCTGGTAAGATTAGTTAACCTCTTGCAAATTCACAAAATCTACAACTACGTATTCAACTCAAATCTAGAGAGAACCAGTTAGAAGTAGAACGTGCAAAACGAAGCCACGAGTACAAGCAAAGGCAAATAGAAGAGAACACGACAAAAGAAGCGTAAGAATATTGACTTAATCAGTAATTTCTTTAAATGTACAGAAGCGTATAACAAGAGGAGAGGGAGGGAAAGACGCCGTATATAGCACAGCCTTTTAGTAAAAAGATGAATGAAAGTTTGTAGGAATAGTTACGAGTCAAAGAATACAGTGGATGGGGTGAACAAGACTGTATAAAAGGTAAGGGGTATGGGGTATCTAATATGTAGAAAATTGTGATTTTAACAAATACGAATACAAAACACTTCTTCCATCATCACCAGTCAAATGTGTAGTCACTTTGTTGAGGAGTGGGAAAATAAGGGATAGCTATTTGAGCAATTCTTCTCTAGTACTCTGTAGGAGTGAATTGGGGCACAGTAGTAGCCGATGCAGTCGCTTGAAAATCATCAGAATGGACATTCGGTTGAGATTGGTGATTGTAATACTTGGTGTTAGAATAAGGCCAGCTATTGGTAAAATGTTGATCAACTACTTGCTGTTGCTGTTGTTGTTGAGAACCGGAATTATAAATTTGTTGAGGCATAGACTGAAAGGGGGTCGATACCCCATCAACTGCTCGCACCATTTGAGGATGCTGCAAACGTGACTGAGTATCCATTACTCTCTGTCTTTGAGGAGTCTGTTGACACTGTAATTACATAAGACAAAAACGTGAGCCGTTACTTAACACCCACTTCAAATTAATGTTGAGATTTGACAAAACTTACATAGGTGTGCAAATGTGAATGGTTCTGTTGCGGATAATACTCCTGTTGATAGTAATTTTGGCAATAAGAACGCTGATATTGGTTGGGAAATTGTTGAGCCTGCTGATAGCCATTTCTTGGGAAAACTTGCTGCTGTTGTCCATAATTAAAAGAGCCCTCTTCTTGATAAGACGGGAATGTATTCACCGATTGTTGCCTTGATGTAGTATTATTGCCGTATCGAAAAGACAATGAGGCCGTAGCCTGAGGTGGTTGAGCAGAAGCATTAATAGGAGTTGCGTGGTACTGATGGGACAGTGGTTCTTGAGGCATTTGATACATCCATGTGGTAGCATTATCTAAAATGAGAAGGTAAAGAATTATTAGTGCACAGTAGGTCAGGTGACAAAAAAGACCTGTGGTGATCATGTAAAACAAATCACAACAGGCTCTGTCCTATGACACAATCATACACATACATGCCTAATGTGAAGACTTCACCAAATTCCAAATTATCGACTTACCACCGCTATGTTGCCTGTAAGAGGAGTTTTGAAGATTGTAAACAGAAGGAAGATTTGCTTGCGAATAAGATTGAGTCTCCCAATTTTCATCAAAAATATTCCGTATTTGAGGAGGGAAATTAGGGGATGTAGATTGAAAATTAGACCCATCTTAAAACAAACAGAAAAGAGCATATAAGACTGGTTAAAAAGAGGGTACACCTAAAAAGTGTAAATACATACCAATCGATGATGATCCGGTTGCGTGAGGTTGGTCCAATTTTGTCGGTGTATTGAGCTTATGCGGTTGGTCGATAACAGGAGGGAATTGGGGTTCGAGTAAATCTGAGGAAGGAGGTAAATTCTGGATAAAACCTGAGGAACAAGAGTTTCTACTTGGGGAGACGGAATTGGTGCCGGTAGAGAGGGGTGGAGGAGGAGAGGTTAGATTTCCAGCCCCATTTCCACTCAAACCACCATCTCTGAAGGATGGTACAGACATAGTTGAATTTGTTCCATCAGGAGAGAACTGTTCTCCATTACCAGCATTAGTAATCGAATCAAATATAGTGCAATTACCAGGCGATTGTACGGGGTGCCCACCTAGTATTTCCTGGATGTTACGTTCGAATATATCCTTTACATCGTTCCACTCAGCTGTAAAGTTATTCCGTTCGATCTCATCTAAACGCGAAAAAACAATAAAAAATGGTAAGGAGCGCAATGATATATAATTAGTAAACATTAAGTTAATTATCTTACGCAAATGAACTTGCTTGAAGTGTCCCTTAATATCAATTTTGTTTTTTCCAACATAGTCACAAATGATACATTCAAGACCCCGACAGAAGTGATCCGCCTTATGGTTGTCAAGATATTTTTGTGAAGTAAAACTTCTTCCGCAACCTGGAGCTGCACATTGATATCTTTTGGAGCTATCGTGAGTATCCATGTGGTTCTTCCATTTTTGTTTGGTTTGAAAAATACTCTTACAGATGTCACAAACGTAAGGAGACCTCTTTACACTTTGTAAATCCGAGGAGCCAGTTGATTTTGCATCAACCAGAGAATCAGGACAAGAAGATGAAGGCTTTGGATCAGTGAGCAAACCGGCAATCTCCTGAATGATGTCAGGGTCAGCTGAAAAATGAAATGCACTCGTTATATTCCTTTGAATACCGAATTGAGGCATTTTTGGAGATGTAGCATGAACTTCCTCACATTTATTAGGCGATAAATATTCAGGCTGGGATTTTTCTAATAGGAAAACTTTTTCCTTTTTAAGAACTGGTTGATAAGCTACATCAAATTCATCATCGACAGCGCGTTTAATTGAAGGCCCAAAGGAGCTGCTACTGTGCTGTCTATGGTCACTAATTTGTACGCCATCGTCACGATCAATCATATATCTTGTAAGTTCACTTCTAAATCCACTATTCCCTATAGGACCATTATGCGCCATTGAAAAATCTAGAAAACGCAAGAAATAGTTATTACCCGACGCACATTTAAAATGCAACATAGAAAAGAAAAGACCCACTCTACCGTCTACCAACGCCTATCGTGATATAATAACAACAAGTCAAATAGACTTTCCACTCAAGGCCGATATAAACAAACTGAGAAGAAGCTCACCTCAAGGTCATTAATTGTAGTACTATTTGTCATCGGTGTTGGAGTAAAAAATCATCTTAAAGCTTATCAATAGTTTAGCAAATTTTGATATAAATGATTTATTCAAGAAATTTAAATGCAAAACCACAATATTTAAATGGCAAATTTGCATTATATAAATTTTTATAAATGATTGAATTGACAAGCGATGAGCTCAACATATATTTGCTAGCATCTATATTAATGAAGTCATTTCACATAATCCTTATCGGTAAGCATATGCATATCTGTTTCCAAGTAAAATTATTAGGCTAATTTTCATTTAAATTTTGCTCACGGATATCAAGAAGATTAATTTTAATCTTCCCGATGGTAATAACATATTTTGCTACTTTTCAAAAGAAGTGTCAACCCACTTGTATCCTGCATGTTACACTACTTTGATATGATAGATTATTATTTACTTTAGCCCACTTACATAAAATTTTACTAAAAAGCTCTTATTGAGGCACGATTTGAAAGCTTCCAGTTTTCGTGACCGCTGTTTGTCATGGAGCAAGGTCGGTGCCAGAAATTACGGTCCAACATGTTGCGTTTCAGCACTTGTTTTACACAAATTTCTGAGTCGAAAAGTACGCTCTTTAGATTGTCATATATTGGCGCACCACGTAACAATTTGATTGAAGATCTTAGCCAATATCTATCATGAAATCTACAATTTAACATCATAATTCGATTTAACGTTAGTCTTTTTGAGGATCAGGATATAGTTACGGTTAGATAAATTTTTGTTACTCTATAGCACTTATTGTGGTAAATATAGTTGTCAGGACATGATCACTCCTCATCCCATCTGCATACGCTGTTAACACTAATGTTCTAAAAAGATTAGGTAACACCTCAGAAACGTATATACATTGAAATGAATTTTAAATGACCTATCTATCTCAATGTCTATTTAAAACTCTGTTTTTGGTATCATATTTCAAATACCTCCTTTAACGAGCTGTTTTAATTCATTTAACATCTTGAAACTTGCTATTGCATTCTCTCCTCAATTCTCAGTTGTGACTTGATACCCACACACTGAAGCGCTAAAGTTATGCCTTAGCATTCCCAAACTACCTCATTTTGGTCTACACACGCATTGACCATTTGCATAAAAATGCGCATTCAGCCTCCTCAGCCATTGATCATAGTAGCCTGCCAACATCATAGTTCACTCCAAATCACTCTAGTCTTCATTCCTTTAAATTTCCCTTATCCTGCTCTTCTAGTGGAGGTATGGATAATAATAAGATAGCACTTCCCATAAAATAGATCATTAGCCATGAAGTGACGTTCACTATTCAAAGATTAGGAGAATGGATAATAAAGCATCCAATCAAAATTTGATTTCTTACACAACGAGTGCAAGTATTCAAAAGTATACCCATTACGTACCCTCACTTATTGTCGCTGTAAGTCATTTTCCAGATCTACGGATTATTTGGTTCCTGAGTAAACCCCAGTTTACCCTTGCCCAGTGGGAACGCATATCGTAGAGGCAGAACTGTGCACAAATATTGCTACACATTAAAATACTTATCTTTATAGACTGGGTTACAGCGGCTCAGGTAATGAGCATCTGTACTCATAACGATTTTAAGTAGATTCAAAAGGAAATGCTCCCGCAATACATTTCAGTAACAAAAATACAACCTCTATCCACACAAATAGCTTTCTGCTTAATAACGTAGGCCATAGTACTATTATCCCAGTTAATTGCCGAGATGTCAGGATCATTGTGTGTTAGAGTTTAGAGGAGCTATGGCCAACTGTGGGAATGACCCATCCTGAGATAAAAAAACACCTTGAGGTTTTATTTGTCGGCTTCCAATCGTAAGATTCCGGAGATGCAAAAGACAGAAGCACTATCGCCCAGCTGTGATGCAACCCTCTGGTTATTACCTTTTTTTATCATACGAAGAAAGCCAGTTCACATATCATCTTTTAACTCATTACAACGAATTCTCAATGTGAAATAGCTTAAATACGGAGGAAAGAATAAGAATATATGCATTCATGACCACAATGAAATAGTGAAGAAAATTAATGATATTCACATTTAAGAGTAATCATTTACATTTACCAAAATGTATACCCACTAAAAATAGTAACTGATGACTAATAAAATGCTTAATAAACAAGGAAAAATGGCCAATTGGACAGCAAAATAAGCCTGTTAACTAAGATGGTAAATAATTGGTAGTTTATTTACAACTACTAAAAGCCAATAAACGACAGGAAAAATTTAGTCAGTCAGACAAAGTGGGGGTTAAAATATTAACACAGCAAATATATTCGAGTAGATTTGAAATAACCACACATTCACACGAAATGACAGAAAGCAGAGCGAAATATTGATATTGGCATCAAATTAAGTTATGCCGTACGAGCAGCTGGGTTCAGCCTGGAAACAAAGTTAATGCCAGTATTGATTATAGACTTGGCAAATTGAGGACAGCTTGGGTGATTTGATAACCGCGTAAAGACAACGCGAAGCTCCGAGAAGACAAGCCTACAAAAATGAAAATTACCGAAATAAAATATAAAATAGAATAAAACGACGATAAGAACAAGAGTAAAAAGGCACTTTACCTGCAGTAAGGATTCCTCCGTGAAGTATAACGTAGTTTTAGAAATTGATAATAGAAGAATGCGAGAAATATGACATGACCAGAGAAAGCTAGAACGATTGTAACGACCATAAGAATCACCTCGTGAACTGCAATGATACGAAGCACGTTCTCATTGTGACTCTGAGCCTTGCTGATCAAATTCAACAATCTAGCAACCCACGATGGTGATTGAGTAACATCACTTCCATACAACTAAAATAAAAAGAAATGAGAATGCATAACAATAAGAGCAATGGTGTAAACAAAAAGGTCAAAGTGCTCACGGTGAGAAGATTTTTGGTGAATCCAAGACAATGAAGAAAAGCGAAGCAAAAAATCGGGGCAAGAGCAACTAAAAATTTACGATAATTGGTTAGAAAATTGAGGGTATAAAGCTTACCAGTGACAGGAGGGGACCACAAGAACATCAAAGAGTAAAGTAGATAATGCAAAGAATCTTCAGATACTATAGTAGCAATTGACTCTTGGGAAAGACGAAGTTGATCATTTTGTCGTGTGATCCGCTGATGCAACCTGAGAGCTGATGTAGCTGCATTTGCTATTAGGGCACGTTGGTACCAAGAGTAAGGATTTCCAAAAAATGAACCCAGGAAATAAAAAACACAGCTAATAATCGTTATCAAACGCGTGACATAAGTTAGCGTATTTGACCAATCCGATGCAAGGAATGCCTGCGAGTAAAAAATGTGAACTAGCAAGTGTATTTAACTTATAAAGAAATGTACGAGAACAAAGAACATACTCGAACAGATTGACCAGACGCAGAAGACGACATGTTTACAACGCGCAAACCACAGCCTATGAATTAGGTGCCTAAAATCCAATTGGTAAAACAATTTTTTCACATATTAATATATATATTTTAATTTACACTTACAAAACGTGATTATATATATTCCTCTCTGGTGTAAATTATTTCTCGAAATTTTGCAATAATTGCTAATGATTTTATTGGTAATATAAATTTAATAAACGGTTATCTTTAAGTAGAAATTTTATAACTAATTTATCTATTCATGTTTATCATGGGGAGCATCAGTTTAATTTTTTTATACACTCACAAGACCTTTACCTAGTTCAATTCCATACATTTAGTATTAATATTTGCATTCTTATAAACCTGCCATTAACAATAAATCAGTCACTTGAGTATTGCGAAATTTTATATTAAGTGCAATTTAATATTATCACTACTTTTCATCCGTTCCAAGGGAATTGTTCGTTTGGACCTCCTAAAATATTCAAACGTCATTTTAATAGACGCTACTCATTTAGTTACAGTGTTTAAATTTGGCTCAAAGTATTAAATAATATTTATTTTCTTTCATTTATGCAAATTTTTACCGGGGTTTTTATTATAATTTTATGGATGAAACATGCCCTTGGGAATTGCTGTCCTTTATGTTGTCGTTGTGTCCCTGTTTTTAGTCTTTGCCTGTTTGCGTATATTGTTCTCTCGTTGCCTTTTTTATCATCTTATTCTTATTTTAATATCTTTACTATTTTACTAAAATTCAACTTCTTTTTCATGAATGGCGTTATGGCTTGCTTGCGTATTTAAAATTTTATTAATTTGTATTTTTGATATTATGTAGATTAAGGCAAATTTTTTAATATTTTAACTTCTATGTGAATTAAAACAGATCATGGATGCTGATCGATTTGAGTATCTCTTCAAATTTCTAATAATCGGAAATGCGAGTACTGGTAAGACCTGCATCTTAAGGCGCTATACTGAACAAAAATTCTTTCCAAATATTCAACATACAATTGGAGCGGAGTTTGGGAGTCGAATTATCAACGTGGATGGCACTCAGGTCAAGATACAAATTTGGGACACTGCCGGTAGAAATTCTACATCCATTTTATTAATTATTCATTGAGTTTTAAGTTTAATCATCGAATATTTTAATTTTTGTTAGGTCAGGAGCGTTTTAGATCGATGGCACGGTCTTACTATCATGATGCTGTGGGAGCCCTTCTTGTCTACGATATTACTAATCGCAATTCCTTTGATGATATTCTGAAATGGCTTGGTGATGCTCGTCAACTTGCCTCACCTGGAGTGGTTGTAATTCTCGTTGGCAACAAGAAGGATCTTCAGGTCTGTTCCATCTAATCATTATTCAAATTAATTCGTTTGACGTGGATTTAAAATGAACTGTTTGGTGTCTATTCTTATTTTCATTATTTTCTTGTTTATTATTGGTAATACTAGTCCGATCGGTTGATTCATAGATTTGAAGAATTGATATATTTATGCTTTTTAACCGATTTCTAACTTTCCAAGGCTTTTTGGAATAATCTTCGAGATATTGATATCTTGTGCATATTTTTAAAGGAATTACAATAAAATTCAGATGATTAACGTCTTCAAAATATCCCATTTTACATAATGTGAAAGTTCAAATGTGTCATTTAATCACTGGCCTATGCATTCTTTCACTATACAATTCATGATTAAGAAAAATGATGTTTAGCCCTATGCAGCTTCCAAACCCAGATTTCAGTTAACGCGCGTATTAGACGGAGAGAGAGAAACAGTTAGAAGTTGGTGACAAAGTATTCATTTATGTTTTTTTGAATCCTGTTTTGAGTAATGAGTAACTTATTCTTTCATGTTACAAAATGTAAATATCATAACTTGCCCCCCCCCTTCCCTCTAAACGAATAAGTAAATTGATTTCTTTGGTTTTTGTTGTGCATATTGACCAGTCGTTCACATCTTAATGTACATCTTCCATCAATGCAATTTTAATAAAGCGGAGCTAACTGGATTGTTGTGAAGTTCTTGCTCTTTGTACAACTTTTCTAATTTGAATTTCCTCGAGGTTCTATTTCTCCCATGAACGCAACTTCTCTCGGTAATCTCACAATTCGCATCATCATCTTGAGGAATTATCCGTTTTCAACTGTTTCGCCTGATTGTTGTATTTTGCGCTTATTCTCACTCATATTTGCCCAACCTCTATTCTGCATAAAATTACTTGTTTGATGAGTCAATAATGATATTGGCAGCCTGAATTTGTTCCTATCGATACGAGTGTGGAAAGCAAATAAACAATATATGAGCGCATAAGAGAATGAACATATTCGGTTCGTCTTTATAATAGATTCACAGAAGTCTGTGATGCACCCATGTCAGTATCATGAATCCTACTCCTTAAAATTTTCCTTCTCTAGATTACTAAATTACTTTCTTCCTTGTAAAGGACACAGATGGTCAGGTAACCCACTGGGAAGCAAATTCTCTAGCTCAAGAGAATTTACTCCAGTTCATAGAAACCTCAGCACTTACCGGTGAAAATGTAGACGAAGCGTTCGCCACTTGTGTTCGCGGTATCCTGGCCAAAATTAAATCGGGCTTGCTTGATGCTGATCGATACGCAGTTGGTGGATTGGCGGGTCTTAAACAGAGGTGAGTGGTGGTAATTTGAATTATTAATTAATCACATAACACATTCCAAAATATTCCGCATACGACATGAACGTCGCCATAAATCTGTTATTTAGTCTTACCGTTTAGTTAAATGCTTCTGTTTTTTATATTAACCGTTACTATCAAACACGCAGTAACTTAAAGGTGATGTTTTACCAAAAGATTGCGTGCCGCGGCCATCTTAGCCTTATCGATCAAAAATAAACCGCTGATGAAGAAGTTAAAGATAATTCATTTCAATTTGGCTGATTTTCTAAAAACAACATCTATTTATAAATAAGGGGTTTATTAGAATGTGTGACTTAATTTTTGTTTTGTGCTTTATTTTGCTCTCTCTATTAAGACGCGAAAACAGAGAAAGGACCAAGGTTATGCTTAGTCAGCTAACCTTTTTAGTTCTGACACAAGGTTATGAAAATGATATTTGGTAATGTTACTGCATTATTTTGTAAAGATGCGGTTTTTATACGCAATGGGGCTTGGTTAACGTAGTTTTGAATACACAGATCATCCATGATCCCATGTAGTTGCCGTCAATTCGATTAATTACCATTATTGTGTTCTGAGCTTGTTTTGGTTAGAAACTGACATCTTCGTGACAGAGACAAATCTGCGTCGACCATATACATAAATTTGTTTTGATATCTAATTTTTTTCTTGGTTATCACACTTATATTTTTGTGACTAAGTATCTCGACCTTTCAGTGGCACTTTAAATGCTTGGTTCTGACTTACCCAAATGAGAAGACCAATAGGTTATTCGGACCACGTGCACAATGGGTAAACATGATAGAATGATAGATGAAGACAAAAAGTGCTAGAAATTGGTAGAAAGGGGAGCATCTCCAGCACTGATTTTGATTATCCGATTTCTGCTAGAGAGAGATAAGGGAATTGACAGAACTAAAAAGTATTCTTCAGCAGTGCATGTGCTCAGCAATTTGCCTACCTAGCATTTTATATACTCTGGTTTGTTGTTGCTACTGTTATATTAAAGCTTGTGTTTTTTATTTCGACAGACAACAGCAGACGGTAAATTTGGCTTCATCAAGTAGATCCTCATCTTCGACCAATGGGGTTGGCCAATCCGGTGCATGCTCTTGCTAATTTCTGATACGTCACTCCCCTTACTCTCCCAGGGTAAGTGCTTCCCACTAAGAGTTTTAAATTAACGTTTGGTAATTCGAAATAGTTTCATTAGGACACATTGATCTTTCCCCTAACTTTATAAGCCTAGGGCAATGTCCACTACTATCAACTGCTTTGTCATTTGCCCACATGTTAGTTTGGCAGATTTCTTGTGTAAATAAAGCGGTCAGAAGAACATGAGTGGGATCATACAACCATTCAGATCCTGACGCGATTACCGTTAAAATAAACATTAGTCCTTGCTGTTTTTTTCTATACTTCCACGAGCCTTTTTGTGGAAAATGCTGAAGCGGAGGTCAAGAATACCAGTTTACTTGAAATTGTGAAACTATTATTTCCAAGGCAATAAGCACGTGTTCATACATTTTCACTCCCGTTTCATCTTGTGCCTACCTCTACGTCTTTATATTGTCTTATCTATCTAGTGTTGCCATTGGAACTGATGTATCTGAAGGTGGATGGAGTATGTCTACCTTAGGTTTGGACTTTAGTTTTTCCCACTTGTGGAGCTGGAGATCGCTGATCCAATATGCCTTGCCACTGGTTAAGTGAGGAAATCGTGGAATGTGAGGTTCCAATTATAGGGCTCAGGATGCTATTTCTCCAATAAGAGTCGTTGTACAAAAGTGCTTTCTGATTGGTTCTCTAACTGCTCTCTTGTCTGTTTCTTTTTTTTAATTCATAAGTTCGAATTCGTTGTGTAGGCTCCAATAAATAGGATTGAGAAGTGTCCGTTGTGAATAAAAAAATTCTTAATTCCAATTGCTTTATATGTTAAACCTATCTTTGCTATAAAATGAATTAGTTAAAGTTTGCAAATAGGATGCTATCTGAATACGTTAATTTTGTTGTTTGAAAGGAATAATAAAGTGCTAAATTAAATTTTAAGATTGAAGAACGAGGTATCTTAGGAGCTCCATTAGTTCTTCATTCAGCATTATTCCTAGGTTGTGGCACACTTTAAGATCTATTTTCTAGAAAGTTAGATTTATGGTGATTTTATTTATACGCAACTGTGTCATAGAAATTAGTCATATACATCAACCTTGACAAAATCGTATCTAAATCCCTCCCTTTTTAGCTCATGAAACGTCATTCTTAATTAGATACCGTTCGACATTCCTGCCTTTTCCCAAAAGCAGGATGGGTAAATAGTGTTTATTGTGCACTATCAGATTTGACGAATTAAAACATATTAATCTAAAACCTTTGGCAAATTTTAGGTTAATGCTCAGTTCAAGCTATATATAATCCGCGATAGGAATAAGTATACAAATATTGTATTCAATGTATTGTATCAGAAGAATCTGCAAGAATTCTATGAATAGAATTCCCTAATCGTGTGCTGGCTATTTCGGTTATCCGGAAATGTAGTTTCCTTCATTTTTATTTTATACAGGATAGCTGCTTTTTCTTAATAAAATCCAAAATGGTAGTTTGAACAACAAATATGTGCTCAATGGACAGCCTTTAATGAATTAATGTTTGCTACTTATTGTAGTATCAGTAACGAGGCGGTATTATGTTAAATCTTCAGAGAAGCATCCAATTTCTCATATAAATATGGGAAGACAGATTTTTAGTACAGAGAATTAATTTAATCTATTTCTTTTTCTCATAATACGTCAAATTAAGTTTGCTCTGGCCAGAAATGTGTCTTTTAATATAATCTCTGAAATTTCTATCGATCTGTATTCCGATTTTTTTGGTTCGTGGTCCTCAATTGCCTACTTTTTCCCCTAGCATTGCCTGTTGTCCAATTGATATTTCGACCTATGATTGGCGTGTTCATGAAATCAAATATATGCTGAATAAATGCAGCTTAACAACCTATGCGGTTGAGAAAGTTTATTTATTTATTTCAAATGGCAGGCTTTTTGATAGTTATCATTAGCCCTATAGTTGACTTCGGGCTTCACAGAAGGGGGGAACATTAAAGTGTGAAAAATTCGACAAGGGAAATGAAGAGCGATTCACAGATGTAAACGAGACAGACAGACACAAAGGCTCAGAAAGGGTAAGATGAGTACTGTGAAAGTGGTGGAATATGACATACAGAGGGGTCGTGGTTGTTAGAAGTCGGAAGTCAGCTGCCAGTTAATAGACTTTTTTGCCGTATGAGTATACGTTGCCCAGGCTGCACCACGTGGAGGTAAGTCTATCGCACACCCCCCGGTTGAGAAAGTTACATTTGCAATGCAGATTATTTATTATCTTTCGGTTGCTTAGGTGCATTCACCAATTGTGGTTAGTCGTTTCAATTAATAGATGCGGTAGGACGTATATCAAATCAATGAGTCATGTCACTGCACTATTACGACCTTCAGGGCATTGAATTTGGCTAAGAAACCAAATTCAACAGTTCCTCTGCTTCTGAACGAAGTTTGCAGGCTTCTTCTCTCACACTACTTTTTCAGTCATTTGATTTCCATACTCTTGCTTCCTTTTGCTTACCAATTAGTCAATCCCTTCTCACTTATCCCAATCTGTAAAAGCATTCGTTTTTTCTTAGGAAGAGATCACCGTTTAGTTAATATTGTGTGTTGACATTTTTCCTAACGGGTCTTAGCAATGGTAGCCACATTATACATCTAAATTGAGAAAGAAGTGCCCCTTCTTATCCCTTGGGGTGCAGGCGTTGTTTGATTCACATACTAAAACTGTCAGAAATTTCTTTGAATAAGGGTCAATCTGCATTTGTTCGTATTCTGTCTGACGAACTAAGTTGATAAACTACTCTCCGGTTATTTGGTTGCACTACTACGGAAATTCAAAATTGCAAAAAGAGATTTAAGCAAAATCTTATTTGCTAGACAAAAAATGTACTGATATTTGTCTATTCTTATCCCTTTTAGATGGACAAGATAATACTCAAGTCACTTCAGTTAACTTTCCCTTGATGTTGTGAATTGTGCTCCAATCCTCTTTCTCCTTATTTATTTTAACAATGGACATAATCGTATCTTATTTTATATTCGCTTAACTTCAAGAGAATTCCATCATTGACATATTGGTCATTTCATTTTGAATAATATTAACTTGCATGAGCTCCAACGTCTGTCAGGAAAGGAGAATTGTTACCCCGGTGCTAACCGTGAAACCTGGAGTGACTGAATCCCCATCTCATAGCTGCTTCACAACCAGCGGTAGTGCAGACGAAGGCTAGAAGTGGGAAAGTAACCGGAATTCCTTCTTTCGCCACACGAAATTAGGTTTTTTGGAAGTATTAACCTACTTTTCATGAAGACTGCAATATCTAAAAACCATCAACCATCACCATTCCCATTGTACCCAAGCCAAAGGATTGAAACATGCCTGAGTACGTCCATTCAAGCTAGATGCACATTGACTGTGTTTCAAGGTGGTTTGGTTCCACAGACAACTCAAGTTAAAGAACAGTTTCCAAGGCCATACCCTGAGCCAGTGGTTGTTGAATGTGTGAATAGTACTCCAGTCTACCTTAATAGCACAGAAACTGGTCTGTATTTTTCGGAATTTGTCTAACACAGAGTATTCATAAATAAAAGAACTAGATTTTAGAAGACCTAAAATATTCATAAATATTAAAATAATGCTTCGAAAGCAAAATATGTCTACTTAGGAAGCCACAATGTTCCATCGATCCCTCAAATAAATTGATTGTCTGCTCTTATTGTTTCTTTAACACCTAAATACGTGGAACACGAAAAGTGGGAGTAAAAGAATATAGCGGATATTAGGATTATCTTAATAAGCAATACTTATATGCGTATAAAAAATAGTAATTAACAAACACGTAAAATAAGTAATAGGCGTTCATAAGGAATCGCAATGGAGCTCTGTCATTGTATCCGAACGTCTCTGAGCGCAGTCGTCTGACTCTTCAACATCCGGCACACACTAAAATAAACATCGATAAAAAGACGTGAAGATTGAGCACATACGATTTGTTCAGAAATTGAAAATACTGCCTGTTATGAGCTGGGGAAGGGTGCCAGGTACGTATTTTATTGGTTATTCGTGAAGTTGGTTAGCTTAGTGGTTGGCAAATGGAATCGATTTTGTGACAATCTAACCAACGCTTACTCGATTCATCTTTAACATTAGTGTTATCTGATTTGAAACGAATACCGCGACCAAATACTCATTTTAAACAAATAAGCAATGGAAAAAAACGGGATTTTAGCACACTAAGCTTTAACGAATAAAAAGTTAAATGGAGAAAAAGCCAGGTATTGCCCAATATACGATTCTACTCTTCATTGAACTGCTTTTTCAAGTGATAAAATACTCGGGCCGCTTTAGATCTAGTGAATTGAATCGTTGACCATTTTCCCATAAGCCAAGATTTGACAATAATGAAAGCAATGAATTATATTAGAGTAATATAATTCCAGATACAAGATCGTGCACCCCGACCGATTCGATTTACCTCGATATGCAGTTAAGCTCCAGTAGCGTAATAGTAACAAATAAATAGTATGTAAAGTTAGGAAATAAAGTAGTCATTAGCACAAATTAATAAAGGGACTTCCTAGCTTGAGGGTACGAAAACGGTTTGACCTCAACACAAATTGGACAGTTTCCCTAGGGTCCTGATGCCATTGTGGTAATAATGAAGCCAGAGCATATCATCCTCCAAAAGTATGATAACAATTTCAAATCATAACTTCAAATAAACTTACGTAGAACTCTACAAAAGAAGCAGGTGCTTCAGAATTTCCTGAATTGATCATGTACTGAAGGGATAGGAAGCCTCGGTCATTCGTCCGAAGAGAAACACGAGAAGATAGAGCTAATGCTCGATTCGTGGAGGGTCTTAGAAGAGAAAGACGATATCGAGTAACATAAGGATCCGTGCTGGAACATTCAAACACCTCAACTGGGTCAGAGTCACGTGGAAAGTCGTAATGAGTAGTGCCCGAGAATCCATACGTCGTGAGACGTAACCGAGGTTGCGGTAATGTGGTAGGAACAATGGCAACCTCAAGGATATCACTGGTTGCATCTAGCTCGGAAAAGGTCTCCCGCATACAATCTGATTTGAGAATCACTTTGCTAATAATTTGACTATTGGCGAAGTCAAAATCCAGAACTTCTAAAGCGTCCATTGTCTTAATGTTGCATTCTGCTACTACTCCACTATCTTCTAGGCTACTTAATTAACTCGAAAGAAACAACTTACAGTAAATCAAGTGTACAGCCGTGTTCCTTATATGAAAGTATAACCGAAGTGAGCGAATTGTTGTTGTTAATGCCGAAAATAGAGAGGCAATTCTGAGGCAATAATTTATAAAATGACTATTACCAGTAAAACAGTTAGATTAATCTTGAATGCAGTTATCGGTTGTAAGATCCGATATTCCTGGAACATTTCTGATTGTAAAAATGCACTGCCTTGGACACATTTCGCATCTTCGACAGTAACTTTTATACCACTTTTCGATATAAAAATGGTAGCAATCTAAAAGATATTAAAATAATACACTTCCTACATCACGAAAGTGAACGGCTTTGAGTAGATTTACACAAGCCTTAATATTATCAGTTTTTGCATAAACCAGTGGATCCTCTGGCATAATTATTAGGTGTGACAACCTAGACTGCAGATTTTAGGTTTTCAATGTAAGTAAAGCGAAATCAAGGACGATCATTTTGATACGCTTCAACATTAATAATAATTCCAGCTAGGAGTCATAAATCTGAAATATGTGTGACAGCACCCGTCACGACTTCCGTTTTTAATCTAAATAAATTAAATACTCCACTGCGTTCATGTATTACTTTCCCCAATTATCAGTTCAGAAATATTATAGTATAGTTATCATGAAAAATTTGTTCATTTGCTTGATATTTTGGCACAAATTAATTTTAATATTACTTTGAATTGGTATTTTTAGCTTGCATTTTTAACTTAATGTATATCATATCGTTGACTGTAAAATTTAAAATGCGATCCTGGCCACATACCATAAATCACAAATTGAACTATTCCAATTGTGGAATGTTCAGTTATTCTAAATGACTTCGTAGGATCGTAATAAAAAGTAAGTAAAGGGAGGTAAATAAAACATTTCCTAATGATCGATATTTACAACTTTTCTCAAATATTCCACTTTAGGCAATTGATAAAGCTATTAAGTCCCTGAATATTCAATTAAAGTCGACCCAAAGGTAATAGAAGTGAGCCTAGTTTCTTGTGTACGGAAGAAATACTCAAAGTTACTCTTCTTATTTAAACCTGATATTGAAAGTAAACAAGTAAATATCTGCAAGTTAGTTAAAGATGATACCCCATTGTGCCTTTGGATTTCACACAATTCGTCAAAGCAGCAATTATTTTAATCATTCGAATTCGTAATAAATATTGATCGCAATAACTAGATTAATGAAAGTGCTCACATTTATAACTATCATTCAAAAATTTAAAAGAATTTATGACATGATTGATTAATTTCATATCAAAGTTTTTTGATTGCAAAATTATTTTAAAATTTATTAAAAATCTAATTGTTCTTTTTTGATAGCGAATGGTAAAACATGTCGCTTTAACATTTCTTCCAGCTATTATATTGCAAGAAGTTACTAATTGAGGCAACTCCTCAAATTGATGGGAAATATCAGATAATTTTTAACAATGGTTGATAATTAATTTATATCCTTTTGATAAATTCGTACAATAAATAATGTTATGAATAAGAATGAATACCTTAATTCGGACACACAGTATTAATGATTTCTGAAGTTCAAAACACGAATTTTATGATAAACATTGAATGAAGGACCATATACATATACACTGACAAGGAAAAGAATAGAGGCTTTAAAACGCATTTTGAGATCTTTATTACTGTATTACTCTTAAAGTATCGAATTTAAATCCCGATTAATTTAAGCAATATCCATCAAATTTAAAGTCAAACAATGGGCTTATATATTTAGTACTTATTAAACCAAAAATTGCATCCTTTGAAATGAAGTTAATCTAAGGACTGCATTTCCTGTTGGTGCATTTTATTTTTCGAATTATTTCTCACGCGAAATGATCAAGCGTAAAAAATAATCCGAAATATGGGAAATTTGAGATTATCCGAAATTTTAGTACCTTCAAACAAGCATTAGTAAATAAATGATGTTATGCTTAGCACACTTTGTAAACCCCATAAATATTTGAGCAATAACAAATGGCTATCAATAAATTAATCACTTTATATCAAGATTGACTGGAGCTTCAATTGTGTATATGTTACATTGAATGAATATTAATATAGGTTTAGGAAGTGTTCAGATTTTCTTTCACGAAAAATAAAGATATGAAAATAAAAATGAAACCGAAATTTAATGTATAAATATATTGAATTTGAAAGTTGCGTAAAAGCCTTAAAATTTGTAGGATTTAAGCGTTTGATATAATTTTACGTATATTTAGAACAAAATTTCAGACTGATTAACGAAATATCGTCGTTTCATTCATCATTTGGAGACTTTTTCTAGCTTTTTCTTCATGTCGGGAAATCAGTACAAACTCCCATATTTAATGACTTGAAAATTAATATTAAATTTTGAGAATGATACAGATAGGAGTTTGAACTTGGTTTCGAAAGAAGTTCACTAATTATACAAAATAATTTTTATTGAATTTGGTTGGGTTTACAGAAAGTCAAATGATTCAGTGTATAAATTAAATTATTTTGAAGTAACTAGCCTAACCGAAATAATTTAACTAGCCGATTTGATTTTGTGAAGTGGGTATTTTTAGGTAAAATGAAATGCACTAGGTAAATGCTTTATTTACTTAATCGACATAATGAATTTTAACCGGCCTCGATCGTTAAATATGATGTTAAAATTTTTATTACGTTAAAATGTCAATATTTAAATTCAGCAAATACGCTGGCATTGAATCGGTAAATATTTATTTGAACAAACAATGGTTTTGCCATGTAATTTCTATTAAATGTTAAACAACAATTTTGACCATTGCTTCTGATATTTTTCTGCTGTAGCCTATTAATAAATCTTAGTAAATTCAGATTGGTCACTGGAAATTCAAATAATTAAATTAATTTTTGCAGGAAATAAGGTTGATTTTATATTTTTCATCAGTTCTAAAGATTTCGCTGTTGCATATTTTAACATCGTAACTAAGTTCGGTCTTGCGTATCTTTTCATTCCTTCTATTGGTTATTCGTTAGCGGTATCGTTGTAATTTGTTAGTTATCAGCTTATCATTTTTATGAAATTCCTACAAATTTGCGTAGTTTGCAAATGTAATTTAAGCATATATATGTAGAATTATTAAAATTCGAGTTTTTGTAAGGGCTATTGTGTTATAAAATACAACTAAAGCTCTATTGACATTTCTTTCTGGCGACAATTAGCATAATAAAAGTAGACAGTTGTAATGTTTGCTTTAGAATAGTCATAGCTTAGAATTGTTGCTATTAGTTTGCTTTTGATTGTTTTGAGAGGTCAAAACTTCTGTTTCTTGCCATCGTCCTCTTTTGAGATGGGTGCTAATACTAGCGTAATTACTCTTATTACACTCAATAATCTAAAATTTATTGCTGGAAACTACAGCTGCTAAATGCTCTATGTCCGTTTAGTGACTTGAAAGTTATATCGTATTTAATCGGCCAAACATTTACTTTATATCATTATCATTGCATTAATCTCCCCGTCCTTTTTTATTAAATGGGTATACTTTTTTTACGAATTATTTGTCTGCGAAATTTCGGGAAGCTTTGATTAGTAGTTGTCTCATTTAGCTATCAGTGGAGATAAGATAAAGTCTTGATTTTATTTCTTCCTTAATTTATGTAAATGATGGAGTATTGTGCCTTATGAAATTTTTCTTATAGTTAATGGCTTTTATTGCTTTTTTGTGTGAAAGTGTACTAATGTTTGCTTATCATTTTGTTCTTTCTAGAATTGAAATGAGTAATTTTGATTCCGGGTAAGAAATCCCCTTATTTATTATGTTTTAGCTATCAATGGTATCAGACTGATTCGGCGGTCTATGTCTCAGTTTTACGAAAGGGCGTCGATTCCAACGCCCTTCATATTGATTTTGATTCGAAGTCAGTAAGTTCTTGAATTCTTGATTCCTCATGTTAAGGTCATAATCTCAATAAACGGTGAAACAATTAATAGAATTAATCTTGCCCACTCTATTGATCCATCTAAATCTTCCTTCAAATGTACTTCCATGAAAATCGAACTCAAATTAGCCAAAACTGAGAGTTTCCAATGGAATTGTTTAGAGGGTGTCGATTCTATGGCTTCTCTCAAAGTTATTGGTGAGTTTTGCAATTTCTTACTGTTTATTTTTCCCCTCTACGATTTTCGCCTGTCATTCTTTGATAGAGGAATATGTCGTGACGTTTAGATGGTGTTGAAGATCTCATTCTGATTATTTGATGTGCACTTGTGGGTGTTAAACCTCTGATTTCTCAAAGGGAGGCCTCTGAATGGGTTCCAACAAAGCAAATCTGATGGCAACTCTTAAGGACGTTCATTATATCTCTTAACAGCACTCATCTAGGGTTGAATGAAATTTTATCAATTCCTTTACTAACTCGGCTTTATCAGTGTGGTTGGCCTTTCCATTCACTTGGCTTGCGCCGATGTCCAATTGAAACTGAATAGGTTTCGCAGATGGTGGGCTAAGCGCTGCTGATGTGGGAAAGGACCGTTATGAATGCAGCTCGTTTTTTTCCACTAGTCTTTCTCTATCATCCATCACTTTTGCTTAATTTTATTGACCTAAGTCAGATTGAATATTGGGGATTCATTTTTGTTAGAACAGCTTTGAGAATTTCGAGGAAGAGGTATGTAAGAGTACCTCCTGTTTTGTCAAGATCTGTTCTTTTAACTGAATCGCAGCTGATAATGTGTTAAAAATAGCGTGCATTCCAATCTACTCAAGCTTGTACTTACTCCCCCTCGCGTTTGCGTACTCGTGGGCGTATTGCAACTGAAATTGTCCACCCGGTTGCCTTATTTGACAGAAAGTCCTACTCTCTGCCTCTTCTTATTTGAATGGCGAGAGGTAGTTTTAAAAGTTCTCTTCCGGTGTTCATTTGAATGCGCTCGGTATGTTCCTTTGTTTTCTTATTTCTAAAAGTGCGAATTCGCTAATTTAATTAGAATAAATTTTCCACACAAATGTTGGCTCCTTGAAATCTACTTGCCTATTCTAAACAGATCTCACGGTTTTGTCTCTTATTGACTCATTCATTGAGGGAGAAACTTTACCTTGTCTGCCAAGTTGGTTTAGCCAAGTTGTCTGTGCCTTGCATATCATGATACATTGCCATTTAGTGCATTTCATTTTTGTTGTCTCCTTTCACTAGTTTAATTCAAAGATTCAGATGATTGCCTAGGACTGAATTGTTAACGGCATTTCTCATTTCGAAATTCTCTAGGCTCATTATTTCCCATCTCAGAAATTTTTATTTAAAACCCTTTTCTTGAATGTCTGGACAAATAAGTCTGGTTTTCCCCTTTTCTGAAGATTTCGAGCGTTGTCATAATGGAAAGGTAAAGATAAAGATTCAATTCATTCATACCTTGACATCCTGAAATGGACATAATTGCTCTTTTGAAGATAAAAAAGGGAAGTGTAAACGTTTGACGGCTTTGATTATCCGTGTGTATACATGTCTGCATAAATTTGGTCTCTTTCTTTTGTTCGGTACGTCAGTGTTGTAGTGGTGGCTATAGCTGCGATAAATTTGCGTGGGCGTGACATCGTCAGTAGTGGCAGCACAAAGCGCATTATTTAGGCCAATTTAATTGACAGTACTGATTTGCTTATCTATGGTTGAAATTAGCCCTTAATAGTAGCTCACTCTGTTTAGCCTTCTTGAAGTCAACAAACTGCCCATTTGGGACCTATTTTTCTCTTATCCAATTGTTTGTCTTGAGAGTTTTCCTACCAAATGCCCTCCTGTCTCCTTTGCTCTTATCTCGGTACTTAGTAATTAGAGACAAAAAATTAAGGTTCGGCAAAGTAGATTTTCATTTTTTCCAGATTTCCATCTTTTATGATTTTGTAAATCGCTTTAAAATCGGTAGTTTCGAAATAAGTGCCATCCTTATTCTGGTTTCAATAAATCTACCTGGTATAGTTTCTGGTGAATCTTGTTGAAGAAATTATTGGAAGTGGTAGATAATTTTTAAAAAAGTAAAACTTGAACTGTTGTACATTGCTCATTCTGAAACAAAACGATTATTAGGGCTTAAAAATATGAATCGTTTAAGCATCGAAGCAGTTAAATGGTTCAGCAATGGATGAAGAAGTATTGAGTGCAGTCTATTTTTCCAAAGTCAGATCGGTTTTCATTCCTATCTTGCATGAAAACAATGCACCTTTCAGATGTATTGCCAGGAAATCATAATTTATCATATCGCGTTGTAGGAAAAGAACCTTTTACCTGTGGTAACTCGTGCTACATTTTATAATGCCAAATCTATAGATGAAATAAAGAACATATGGGCTGGAGCGCATTCAGAAATTACATTCCTTCCTTGGTGTTTATGGCATTTTGCATTATCAATAGCCTGCACTTTTTGTTCTACCGGAGGCTCATTTTCGACTTCTAATTCCAGCATTTAGTCCACTAGATCAAAATTAAATAATCAGTATCAAGACCAATGCAGGAGTTGGAAAGGAACAAGATCTGTATCTTTCAATGAGCAGTGAGGGAGGGGGGTGAACAAATTGGGAAAATTTTGAACTTGATTTGCTGTTCCTGTCTTTTTATACGTTTAGAAGATGAATATGTGCTCTTAAAATGTGTCTACCAAATCCGAGGTTATGAGGTAGATACAGTTCGGTGTACATTCAACGATCACATAAAGCAACTGCCCGAATACGAGTTTTAAATTTGTTTTCCCTCGATGGGCATTAGTATTGTCAAATGTGTTTTTGCTTTGTAGATGCTCCGGCTGCCACCCCAAGTGATGGAGACAAGTCGAAGGCTGCCAAATCTACCCGAAACTGGGACGCTGTAGCCAAAGAGGCTGATGAAATTGAGGAGGGTGATCCCCTCAATAATCTCTTCCAAAAAATCTATAGTGAAGCTGATGAAAACACTCGGAGAGCTATGATGAAAAGTTTCGTAAGTTACCAATCTGTTATTAGATGTCTGCTAACTCTTAAATTTTGAAGTAGGTTTATTCTTTTTTTCCTTCACTTAAAAAGTGAGTTTGTGACAGAGTCAGTTCTTAAAATGAGATCTTTCTTGTCTAATCTTTGTTCGTTGTGTTCGCGCCGTAAAACGCATTTCTTTAATGAATGGGTGTACTCATTTCATTCGAGATTTTATCATTTTAGGGATTTATTCCACGAATTATTGCGCATATTGCTGATGGGGTTGGAATTAAGTGCAGTTTCATGTCTAAAAATAGCACTTTTTGCTTACCGGTTTTAACCAGCCAATTTAGAAGGCGCAAAGAATAAGCACACAAGATGAGTTTGAGCCGTTTTTTCGCTTCCGTATGTGCTTTAGTACTTTCTACTTGGTTTCTTCCTCCCTCTCTTGGAAACATTAGGGTCTATTTTGGTTTTTACTTGACTTAGCGAAAGAAGGATTCTTTTTTCCGATTAATGATATTAAGGATGATTTGGAGGTACTCTCATTCATATATTTTGGCTTTGAATTTGTTCCATATCATTTATTTGTGGAAGTCGCTATTTTATTGACTTGTCCAAGACGAAAAAGATAAGCTTTTTTTCTCCTCAATTATGTAGAAGTCTAGAAGCCTATTTCAATTGGTCATAAGGTCGTGTGAATGTGTTTGACGATATGTAAGAGAGCATGGAAATGGATTGCTCTACTTTTTGAAAATGGGCTGCTATTTTTCGTCGAATTGATCACATTCGCATAAGTTAGATCAAGTTAGCATCAATGGTGTGATTTGGAGATGTTGCCTTTTAAATTCCGCGATTTTGTGTTTACAAAGTTAATATTTGTCTTTGCAGCCTGAGTTCTTTGTATGCTAATAAAGCTAAATCATTTATAGGTTATTTCGAGTTTATTATCGAGATTGCTATCGCTAAATGTTACACTCATGATATCGTCTTATTTACTCGCAGAGGTTGAAAAGTAGTCGTTTTCACCGGTCATTTGGTGCTATCTAATTTCTGGAATATAACTTTTACATTCAATTGAGCGTTTTCTTTCGGAAATCGGGTGGAAATGTCTGTCATATCTCTCATTCTTAGAATTATAGAGTTGATATGCCAATAGAGATTTTTCTCTTAATGGCGAAATGACGAAGGCTTGCTATTATAATGTTTAGTGAAATCACAATTATGGATTATAACTCAGTTTCTCACATTCCGGAGATAGAGAAGGCAGAGGTTAAATCGGACAAGACTAATTTACTGGCCAGATGTTTGCTAGCTTAATTGGGAAAATATATATCCACATTCAATTGGGCTTTGCACAGCTCGAGTAGACTGTGCAAATCGTTGATGGTTATTGGACTTCTTTATCCACGTTTTCCAGATGACGAACAGTTTGGTTGATTTAGTTATGCTATTGAAGTGACGACGATAACGTGATATTGATATTTCAAGACAAAGCAGTGTTTCATCCTCCTATTAATTAACGCCTTTATTTTTTTCTTATTCGCAGGTTGAGTCCAATGGAACAGTGCTGAGTACAAACTGGGATGAGGTCGGTAAAGGTAAAGTGGAAATGAAGCCTCCAGATGGGATGGAATTTAAGGAGTACGCCAAGTAGTGTTCCCCTTCACATTTGCTCTATCTATCCAAAAACTGTTTGAATTGTTACAATTTTGGAATACACATTAGTCTCCAAGGCTCACTTTTTTGTTTGAAAAAATCTGGAAATAAACAAGAGTTTTTTGTACAAAATATTGCTGTTCTCTGTATTGCTGATGCTTGAAAGTCTGCTTTCTGCCCACCGCATATTGGTAGATTACAATTAGCTCAGACCCAGAGAAGGGGGGAGAGATAGGACCTGTCCATAATGCAAGACTTCGTTAGTGGTAATATGGCACGACAAGTTTCTTATTATTTACCTTTAGAATCCTTTTAATTGATTAACACTCTGTGTGGGACATGATGTTATATAACCAATTTCACAAAAGAGTTTATGTTCTGGGGTCAGGACAACTTCGTTACACTACAGCACCGGTAGTAGTTATAGTTATTTTTTGTAAATTATTAGATACGTTTGACAGCGCAAATGGCATTAACATGCGTTAACCATGAAGTTGCATCTAAACTTGCGAAATGGTTTATTAATTCGGGTTAGGTGTGCGACGGGTTATCAAAAGGGTACTGATTTGTGTATTTTCTCACTAGAAATAAAGCATTGTTTTGATTCCTGGGTATCTGGGTGAGCCCACGATAATCGGTGGTCGCTGAAGAGTTAATTTGTAAAATGGTTTGTGTCGACGCTATGAATAACGTACACCTTCTTTTGACCACGGGCCGATAGTGGGCATTATTTAAGGTACTTTAAACATAATAGGGTTCACTCAGAACTAAATCAAACAATTAAATTTTTTACATGAGACACCACTGAATTGGATTGACTTTGTCTTCGTTCAAACGTGTCTTTTTGTCTATCTGAACAGTTGAAATAGACGATATACAAAGGCGTGATCTAGTCCGGTAGGCTATAGTCGCAATATCTGAACGAACTTTTCGCTACTGGGGTCTACTCCTTTGTTTATTTTCTCCAGAAAATGGGAGCTAATTCTATATTTTGAACATACTTATATGAAATGAAAAGAGTATCTCAAGAGGGCGTTTCAAGTTCCTTTGACGCCAAAATTAAATATTTAGGTTGTCAGCTATACACAGAATCAGTAGATTTCCTTTGGAAGCCGTAGAAGACTTAGGAGTTAAGAAAAGTAATTAGTCGACTTACCTAGTGCTTTTATGTCATCAGGTATTAGCAAGAAATAGAAGAAAACCAATGGCCAAAGTGTTGTTAAAAGTTTACTTTTGTACCCTTTTTTGGCCATTACGGCCAGTAACATCTGCAAAAAGTGGAACCCATCAGCACAGAAAAACACAACTGAAAACAGTAGCGAGAGAGACTATCACTAACTATACTCCACTGCTTGCAGAAACGAAATCAGTCCTGTTGAAGTACTAAATGCACTCATTCTTCCTCGGGGTAGCTACTGCACCACATATGAGTAAGTTATCAGTAGGCTATCCAAGCTTTAAAGACTTTTAGAGATAACTGCCCCACAATTTGCATCAGCTCATATTCCTCTGAGCTGAGTGGTGAACAAGCGGATATCGAAACTCCCTGGCCACGCATCTCTTCCCTTTCTCCAAATCATATCCTATCTTTATAATGCGCATTAATATAAACAAACGGATAAAAAGGGGTTTGTTAGGGCGCAGACACCACGATAAACAGATATTCTAACTTCTATATATATTTGAATTTAGACTTACCTTCACCTGTGTACGGCAGAAAAGTCTCCTAACTTAAAACTACCACGACCCGATTGCATGTCATATTTGATCACTTCCACAGTACTCACCTTACTTTACCTATTATTCTACCTTTATGTCTATCTCTTTTACACCTGTAAATCACTCTTCTGTTCTCCCTCTCGACTTTCTCTGACTGATGTTTTTCACCTCTGTGAAACCCGAAGTCTGCTAAATTGTTAATGGTAACGATCATAAGCCTTCCAATTAATATTAATATGTTGTTGAATTTAAGTAATGAAGTTAACTAGTTTAGTTAATCTCATTTACAATGTGCCAAGAGGTAAAGGAATCATTTCCTTTTTCTTCATTTTACAAAATATCCTTTGTATACCCGAATACTATTAGAGTACTAATTTAAGTACCTGTCTCTCATTGTTGAACCACATGATAAACTCAATTTAAGACACTCCGACATGAGCATGATTGATATTGCCCCTCAACAAAAGTTTGCAGTTGGCTAATATCATCTGTTTTCACAGACATTTATTTATATCAAATGGCAGGCGTCTTGATGGTTACCATTAGCCCTTAAGTTAACATCAGGCTTTACAGAGAGGTGGAGGAACATCAAAGTGAAAAAAAGTCGAGATGGGAGGGGGGGGGGGGACAGAAGTGTTTCAAAGACAAAGGTTAAAAGGTAGAAGAAGGTGAGGTGAGTACTATGGAAGTAGTCGAATATGACATACAATGGGGTGATGGTAGTTTGAAGTCAGAAGTCAACTGCCGGTTAAGAGACTTTTTTGCCGTATGAGTATACGTTGCCCAGGTTGCACCACGTGGAGGTAAGTCTATCGCACACCCCGTTTTCACAGACAGAATAAAACTGTGAACCAGACACGACCGTCCTGTTCATTGGACATAGTTTCCATACGTTATGATTTCCCCACGGGGTGCGCGATAGACTTACCTCCACGTGGTGCACCC